GGCTGGCACACGCTCTAGCGCTGAACACAGAAGACAGAACAGATTGAAAACAAGGCTAGCGTCTTACATGGGGACAACCAGCTCCGAGGATCTGAAGGTCGGACTCCAGCTATCGAATTTAGTCTATTGAACAGAGTTTTACCACCAGAACAAAGTATTTTTTGACCACCAAGGAAGGACCTATTTCATTTAGACGTACAAAAACGACAGTTGTGTGATATCAATTATTGGCGCCATAATTACCTCACCTTATGAGAGTGCGGTCACTCTTACTCGGGACTCAGTTTTGAATGTTATTAAAGGACGGACCCCCTGTCCCGCCCTAGCGCCCGTGGTGAGCCCTCTGAAGCGCCGCGCCGCGTCACGCGTGCACAGAGGAGTGGCTGCGAGAACCGGTCCTAGTTACTGCTTAACGGGAATCGTTTTCGAACGAGTAGCCTCATGTGTGTAACAGTCTGTCACACTCCTGCGAGAGCAAGGCAAGACAATATCCTCACTATAAATTTGTAAAGTTTAAAAACTAAGTTGTTATGAATTATACACAATTTTTATCACGCAGCTTACGTATTTTTGAGTACATTGCCCTGTAAAAACGAATAAAAATGGAAACACGCGAAGAAGTTTGTCATCAACAGTGATGAAAAAGAAAGTGCTATCGATGCTAGCTCAAATTACGACAAAATATAGCTCAGCGAAGACAGGGAAAAAACGTCAAAATCGAAAACATTAGAAAATGCGCTGCGAGAGTCGAGACTCTCACTGCTCCCTCTTCTCTGGAGCCAAAGCCACGCGGTGAGCCTGGTCAGTCACATGACTGACGCCTAACGGGCTGACTGTAACGGGCTTCGTCCAGAGGCCCTTCATGGGCCACGTGGAGAATGCGAGTAGGGCCTAAGCGCAGCGCAAAGTGTCAGTGCCCTACACTACCACAAAGAGTTCAGGACCCGCGACCGTGGGGCGTAACAAATACTACATACGAAATCTGACTTTACCTCTGGACAAATAACGACCGAACGTTACGTATCTAACTTAACTTAAAGTTTTATTTGCGACTTTGTTATATTATTTAACAAACCGATCATGTTCGTTCTGTTAAGTTACGGACCCCTGAATTTTCCGCTCGGTTCCATTGGTAATGCCAAAAATGTGAAATGATTCGTTATGAAGCCCTGCCTCTGGAGCATTCGTTGTTTTTCTTTGTACCTTTTTTCGATATATGTAGAGTTGTATAGGATATTTCAACTCTGCCTCATTTAAATTGGAGCTCCTTGCAGCACTATGCGTAGATTTCGAGCAATGTCGAGTTAGTCCAGCCCTCGGTCCAGCCCAGCCCCAAGTCCGTGCCGGGGCGGGGCAAGTATCTTCTCGGTCGGCGTCTGGCGGCAGACTTTCTTGAGCCGCCCCCCCCCCCTTCATACCGCCCCTCGCACAGCAGCAGTACGCCACGGGGCCCCCACCCGGTCTGCCTGCCACCGGTGGAGGAAAGAAGCCGGAAGGAAGTCGTTATATCGAGGCGTTTGAAAAAAACGCAAACAAGAAAAATGCAATCGCGCCGTACTAACACGAAAAATAGATTCGAAAAAAAAAAATGAACTGGTGTTCCCGTTGTAAACAGCATGCAATCGGCAATACACCGTGCCCGAACGCAGGCTGGCCAAAAAAACAATATTGCTGGAAAAAATATAGGTCGGACATAACTATCCTTTGCCCTCACAAAATGAGCTAGTTTCATTTTTTACGAATTTACTTCGTAGCTACGGAAGCAAATTCTCCACAATGCTCAGCAATTCATCGTAGATTTTTCACGGTGAATTGAGTAACGTTTAGAGGACGAAAGTTTTAGAAAAGTGCATCGGGGTGTGTCTTCTTTATTTATGCCGTTGGCCAAAGACGCATTCCGGAGCGCGCGAGAGGGGAGGGGGGGGGAGCGGGCTGGAGGAGCCGCCTGACAACCTGTTGCATGGGGATCACAAAGGTGCTGCTCCCAGATAAGCCTCTCCACGCCATTCACGGAGACACGTCCGCGCAGCCACGGGTGTACCACTGCACCGCCCGCCTGGGCTCCACCTCCACGCCTCGAACTGGGCTCATGAACAGGGAAGGCTTTCAAGTTTCACCCATGAACACACTGCATGGTAAAAGGATAAGGGGTTGCTTGAAAATTGCACTTCCTGTTTGTGAAAATTTAGCAGAAAATGATTGCTTTACAGGCATCAGAAGACTGGGATAAACAAAGATGCCACTTTTAAGGGGTGCGAATAAATTTGAAGGTGCTACAGCTAATGCGTCAGTTTTACAAAGGCATCAAATTACTTTAAGTAGTGCTCTATTGAACACCATTAGGAATGTTCGTAGCTTTTGTAATGACAGAGCACAGGCAGGATTAGAAGATGCTATGTATATAAACTTTGTTTTCACGATGAGGAACCATATTGTGGGATCTTTCGTACTAGGATCTTTCTACTATGGTCCTTCGTTTCACTGGTTTCGCAACGAAAATGGACTGACAAAGCAATAAAATGTAGCTCAAACGTCTTTTATGTCCTCATGTCTTAGTAAAGGGTGTCAATCTTAAATTTTAAGCGAAGAGACCGCCATCAAATACAAGCCAAAACGTAGTTCCCAAACTTATCCAAGAAAAACTAATTGAAATTCATCACCTTTTACGGTCTCCCATTCCGGAACATCGCGAAAGGAAAAGGTGGGGCGAGAGCAACGCTGAGAAAGAGCGCGAGAAGGGAACGGGGGGCAGCAATTATAATCGATTGCAATCAGAGTGAACTGTGGAGAGAACACGAAAAGGAGCGAGGGAATGAGGCGAGGAAGGGAAGCCGCGCGGTCCAGCTCCGCAGTGCATCCTTCCAACAGGCTCAACACGGCAAACCGGTCCATGCGCTGCGGGGCGGGGCGCCCCTGCATGCGACGCGGCTCCGTGATCAGTACGTAAGGGAGACCCCCCCCCCCTCTTTCCCCCTTCCTCCAGCCGCCGCGCCCCGCTGCTGTGACCTTGAGCAAAGCCTTCAAGGCTCCGGTGCGGCCCGGGCCCGTCCGCTCGCTCCTGAGCCTGCCTGTGCAGCCCCGCCCCGCCACCTCACCAGGAGCCTCGCAGAGGCCAGGGGGGTAACGTTCCTGCCGCTCCGACGACCAGAAGAGGAGGTGTACACTGACACTGAATGCAATAGACAGTTTTTTGTTGACGGCTTGAAGCAACAATCTTCTTCCACGGAAAATTGTGTGCGCTTGTTCAGGAGAGACGAAACAAAACTGGAAGTCGCCGCAAGTGTGGCTTTTATTATTGGGGCGCTAGTAGTGTTTCTTGATGTTCTTGGTCCTGGCAGCGGGCAGCAGCGGCGCCTCGATATCAAGTCAAAGGCCGATGCGCCTGCTGTGGGGTCGTCCTAAACGCAGCAGGAGCAGGCCCGTCTGCCTGCAGCGCACGCCGCCGGCCCGCCCCGCCGACTCTTTCCCACGCTCTCACACGCCACGCCTCGCCACCACACACGCCACACCACCCCACAAGTCGGAGAGAGAGAGAGCAAATTGTTTGTCAGTATTCCGTGCTGGGAATGCGGTCCAGCCATCGCGTGAGGGTGAGGTTATCAGCCGAACTAAGCGTGGTGCGTTGTTGGGACATCCAATGGGACAGAAACCAGAACGTGACTTACAGTAATTCCCACTCGTGCGTAAGGGTGATCTTGAAAAACTTGGGCTCGTTGCTGGAAAGCTCAAATGATGCGACGCTTGAGTTTCGTAACCGGCTGAGCCCGGCTGAGTCGAGGTGATAAAACTGCTCCCTGTACTCAAAAATAAGTTTCTTCACGCAATCTTTTTTTCAACGAAAATTTTGTTACGAATTTTGCCTGACAAATACATTTGAGGGCACCGCCGTCCTTTTCTTTAGGGGAGGCCTTCATGGTTAGAGACTACAGGCAAACAAATTACAGTACGGCGCAACGGCCACAAAACAGATACACTACTGACATTTCAAGTCTCTGTCAATTCAAATATGTACATACATATGTACATAAAGTCTAAGTCATGTATGCACTAAATAAAGTCTACAAGTCATGCCTATTTTCAATAAAGTGTACACGCCATAATGTTACACATTTACAAACGTGTACATGCCCTATCTGTACTTATGGTGGCGCTCTCTTCCTTTTTCTGTCACGCCCTGCACTGCGTTTGGTTGTTAAAGTATTCGCGTTATAACTTTTTAGCTCTTTCTCATTGTGGCCCACTTTGGCGCACCTGCAGGCGTGCCGGGGAATAGCATCAGCTGGTATGCCGAGCAAATAGCTAGGCGCCGCCACGCCTGCTATCAAACGCGATAGCAGCGCCTGGCACCACAACACTGGAAACAAGTCCCTACGAATAAGATTATGGTGGACTCGGCAGGCAAAGTGGCTTTATAAAAAAGGGACCTTCATTGGGACGTCTTAACACCTACAGTACAAATAAAATACCTTAGCCCCTCTCCAACAACTTCTTTTACAATCGTCTTTGGCTCAGTTTCACCAACCGCGGGTTCTCTAAGCTGTCCGTGTACCTCGTCGACAGCTGGCGTCTGCTATCGCATCACGTGTGTTATCACCGTCACGTTAACTCCCTTATCAGGACCACACGACGTGATATAACTAGGAGGTGCAACTACACCCAGAGTCCTCCTCCCATCTCGCGGGACAACGGCGGAAGATATTTGTGCCCCAGCAAGGCACACGTGACTAGGTATAAATCTTGTAAAAAGAGTCCTCTGGGCGTGTTACAGAACAGTTTTGAGTGTGGTATGAGGTACTGCATTTTCAACTGAACGAACAAACCCAATGATCATGTTTGAAGTGTACAAACTTTGCACTTCTAAAGATGAGAGACCCTCAATGAGTG